CCACACAATCATCTATATAGATTACAGAGAATATTCCAAAAGAGGAAATTCCAGTAAGAGGCAGTTCTGTGGGTGAGAATGCCTTGTTTATGTCAGAGGTTAGAAGAGAGAAGCCAGATTGCTTCAAAATAATAGGAACTCAAAAGTAAGTCAACAACTTGTTGCAACAAAAGTATGCAAAACAGCGGCTCTGAAGACACAAGACATCAAACCTACAAGCATGTAAGTTAGTGTGCAAATATATATGCAGCCCAATATAGCATCACCTCCTACTATAGTTGTTAGATCACAGTGGAAGATTCATTTCAATTTTATGTATATAGCACCAAATCACAACTAAAGTAGCTTCAAGGTGGTTAACAAACGAAGACGTACAAAAGCAGAAGTAGTCCTGCTAAACTTATAAAAACAGGAACTTGCAATAGGTCATAACTCAAATGACCATTTAAAGGTGTGAAGTCTTGCTACAAATGCAGAATTGTGTATAAACAATGAAAAGAGCAGCGTGTAGAAATACTCCTATTTCTAGGGTGCTGGGGGCTTCCCATGATGCACCATGGCAGGATAACTAAGAGAAAACCCAGGGTCATGTGATCCAGACATAACTGTAAGCTTTATCAAAAGGTTTTAGCCTAATCTTAAATGTAGAGAGTCGCCCAAATCCAAACTAGGAGCTGGTTCCCTATAAGAGGGACCTGAAAGCTGAAGGCTCGGCCTCCCAGTACAAATTGAAAACATATATGGTTTGTGAAAACAACACTCAAAGAAAAGCTGCAGTGAATTGCACGATTTAATTCAAACCCTGCAGTGGTCGGTGTGATCTTTTTTCAGGTGCTTGTTATATTTCAATTCCTGCTCCCTGTGAAGAAGGTTTATTTCCTGTGTGTTCTATAGATTACTGAAGAAAAGATGACTCAATGTTTTAGTACAAAAAAATGTGAAAGGAATCTTTCTTCCAATCCAGTAGATGTCTGATTAAATATTGTAGAATATTGTTCTTACTATTGGTAGGGAAGATAAACAGTTTTTTTGTTTTGTTTTTTGTTTTTACAAAGTCATACTTTGTAAAAACGATATCCTTGTAACTGGATATCTTCAGTCACCCACTGGCATCTCTAAAGTTCTGATTATGCACCTTATTAGTGAGAAGTCATCATGACACCTTAAAAAACAGCTGAGTGGAACAAAACAAAAGTACAAGAGGTGTGTGTAGCTTAATAAAAGCAGATGTGGTCTGTCTGGTAAGTCACGTAATGACTGTTGATTTAAGAGTAAGCAGTTTATTTAAGTCTAACAGTGAAACCTCTGCCTATCATCTTTGGTGTGTCTATGCAGGACACTATGCTTAGAAGGGGCACATTTCATTACTAGAAACAGAAACTGGGTCATTTTTAACTCAATTGCATGTTTAAAGTACCGGTAATTAAAGTTCATTTGAAACCACACTATCTCATCTCTCATCTCCTCTGAGGTGTGTGAAATGAAAATAAAAAACACATACTTGTATACTAAACCACCAAAAATATCTGCTCCAGTGAGCATTTGCAGATAATAAGCATTTGCTTTTATTCTTTTAATCAACTTATTAATATGTGTTTCTTGTTTTGTTGCAGCCATAGACCGTGAGGTCAATTTGAAAATATATAGCCCCCTCGAGGTGCTTTATATTTTAAGCAAAAGACTGTATTTTAATACACAGAAAACCCCAACAATCAGAAAACTCATTATGTTCAAGAACTTGCCAGCAATGGGGAGAAAAAAACCATCTGCTGTGACTGAGTAGGGCCTGAAGGGAGAGAAAAGAGAAAAAAGACACAGAAAGATACACTGTAGAATAAAGTTACAAATGTCTTTGTCACGAAACTAAAAATTTTAAATTTTGAGTGTAAGAAGATGCAGCAATGATGAAGACCCAGGATCTTCCATTGCTCTCCAGGACACAAGGCCACACATCTCAATGACAAACCTGTGTCCACCTAAGAGGAAGGAGGAAGACAGAGCTCTCAAAGCCAATGGACAAGAGCCCCAAAGAACTAGAGGAAATGGGCAGCCAATCCTGCTAGAGGCTAAACAAGAGCCGAGAAGAGTCTCGTGCCAGATGTCTAAGACCCACCAGATACAAGTTGTAATATTTGTTTATTCGGAAATTCTTATTAGTGGTATAAAATTAAAATGATTCATTAACAATAAAAATAAATATATACAGGCTTTATGTCCACTATTGTTTAGTGATGAGTATCACAGCACATGAAGCCTCAAAAACCAGGATTTCAGGAAGTACGTTAAATACAGAAACCACTTAGAGAGCCAAAGAAATTTCAGTTCTTAAAACCAAACAGGATCAAACAAAAACAAACAAAAAACCCCTACAAATTTTTACTTTCAGTTCCTCATGCTCAAACAATAATATATTGTGTCTAAAGAAGTCTTAAATAGAATTTCAGTGTCAGAGAGGAACGTTAGTTAAATACCAACGATAAACACCAATAATCTAACAAAATACACTACATTCAAAAAATGTAAATTACATTTTTAGAGATATCTAAAAAAAAAAGATCAGTAAATAAATCAGGGGATATTGTTTCTGTGCAGATTCATAATGTGTGTTACTGTCACTATCAAAATGATAACACACTGTTTTTATACACTGCAATCCCATTAACACATTCCATCAACCATTGGGCATTTCTGAAACCTACACACGACATTCAAATTAAATTCAGCTCAAGGTATATGACGCATAAACTGGATCTAGAATTTTTATGGGGTTTCTAATAATATCATATATAATAATACAATTAAGAAACATAGATTTAGCAGAGTCCATCTTACATCCGCTTCTAGTCCAAATGACATCACACATGGCCTTTAATATACATGATAAAAAAA